AGACTTTCTGTGCACAGTGTAGACTTGCGTTGCACAGTGTAGTCTTCTGTGCACAGTGCAAACTTGCGTTGCACAGTGTAGACTTGCGTTGAACAGTGAAGACTTATGTTGTACAGTGTAGACATGTGTTTCACTGTGTAGACTTTTGTTGCACAGTGTAGACTTTTGTTCATTGGATACATTGGATTGGGTGTTCATTGTGCCCTTCATTGGATACAGTAACCCTCTTCGACTAGATACTCAAACGTCAGTATACTGTGATCGCTCATTCGTACTGGGGCCTCGAAACCGATTTGAGTGTGTGTGTGTGTATTCACCTAGTTGTACTTACCTAGTGGGCTTGCGAGGGTTAAGCTCTGGCTCTTTGGTCCCACTTCTCAACTGTCAATCAACTGGTATACAGATTCCTGAGACAGAGCTCGAACATTTGAAACTGTGTATGGAGTCAGCCTCTACCACCTCACTGCCTAATGCTTTCCATCTGTTAACTACTCTGACACTGAAAAGTTCTTTCTAACGTCTCTGTGGCTCATTTGGGCACTCAGTTTCCACCTGTACAGGTACAGGTGAACAAGGTACAGAATAAGTTACCTTGTTCGCGTACCCCCCCCTACCCCGTGTTAAACAGTTTATTCTAATCTACCTTGTCAATTCCTCTGAGGATTTTGTAGGTAGTGATCATATCTTCCCTTACTCTTCTGTCTTCAAGAGTCGTGAGGTGCATTTCTCGCAGCCTTTCCTTGCAACTCATGCCTCTTAGTTCTGGAACTAGCCTTGTGGCATACCTCTGAACTTTTTCCAGCTTCGCCTTGTGCGTGACAAGGTACGGTTTCCATGCTGGGGCTGCATACTCCAGGATTGGTCTTACAGAGGTGGTATTCAAAGTTCTGAATGATTCCTTACACAGGTTCCTGAAGGCAGTTCTAATGTTAGCCAGCCTCGCATACGCCGCCGATGTTATTCATTTTATGTGGGCTTCAGGAGACAGGTCTGGTGTGATATCAACTCCTAAATCTTTCTTTCTGTCCGTTTTATGAAAAACTTCTTCTCTCATTCGGTATCTTGTGTCTGGCTTCCTATTTCCTCCGCCTAGTTTCAGTACTTTACATTTACTCCGGTTGAACTTTAGCAGCCATTTGTTGCGTCATTCATTCAGTTTGTCTTGGTCATCTTGTAGCCTCCTACTATCTTTCTGTCTTAATCCTCCTGTGTGTGTGTGAAGGAGTAATAGGAAATGTATAAATATGACTGTTTATTGTCTGCCATGATCGTTATTCCTGTGTGAACGAGAGGAGTAGGAGGAGGATGTTGGTGCATGTGGAGTTGAGGTGGAGTGATATATCAGGTGAAGCAGAGGGTAGTGGAGGAGGAGGTGGAGGAGATTGATGTAGAGTGAGAGCAAGTGGAGGACGATGGTTGTTCCAGGGATTAATGTTGCAATTGGGCCCGGTCTCAGAAATAAAGCTGCGGAAGGCATTTATTGCCTCTGTAAATTGCGGGTTAAGATAGCTTGTTGCATGTTGCAAACCCTGCACACTTCTCCTTCCTTCCTGTGCACGCTGACTCAGCGGTTATAACAATTCCTCAGCGACCTGACTCTTGCAATATTCGCTACGTTGTGATTAGGTGCGTTAAATACAAGATCTTCCCTCTACAACAGTTATCATGCGTCTTGCAATGATGATGACGGCAGAGCTGTTGCAGAGGTGCTGGAAGAGGGATGAGGTAAGGAGGGAGAGGGAGGGGCTGCAAGTGAATGGTGGGAGGGAGGTGAGGGGAGCAGGAGATGGTGGGGAATGGATGGAGGATGGGGTAGAGTGTGCAGGACGAGGATGGTGGGATAGGGGGATGCAGGTGCTAGGGAGGGGTGATGGAGAGTTATGGTTGTGGGGTGGAGGGGAATGAGGGAGGGGGGGGGGAGCTACAAGTATATGGAGTGAAAGTTGTATTGCCTCCCAAGATCTCATCTCCCTGTACTTAGCTGATTGAACGTTAGGCTTATTGGAGCTTTCGTATCCAATACTTTTGGGCAAAGTTTTCATGCAACACAAGTCTACACTCTGCAACACAAGTCTACACTCTGCAACACAAGTCTACACTCTGCAATACAAGTCAGCACTCTGCAACACAAGTCTACACTCTGCAACACAACTCAACACTCTGCAACACAAGTCATCACTCTGCAACACAAGTCTACACTCTGCAACACAAGTCATCACTCTGCAACACAAGTCTACACTCTGCAACACAAGTCAGCACTCTGCAACACAAGTCTACACTCTGCAACACAACTCAACACTCTGCAACACAAGTCATCACTCTGCAACACAAGTCTACACTCTGCAACACAAGTCAACACTCTGCAGCGCAAGTCTACACTCTGCAACACAAGTCATCACTCTGCAACACAAGTCTACACTCTGCAACACAAGTCATCACTCTGCAACACAAGTCTACACTGCAACACAAGTCAACACTCTGCAACACAAGTCTACACTCTGCAACACAAGTCAACACTCTGCAACACAAGTCTACACTCTGCAACACAAGTCTACACTCTGCAACAAAAGTCTACACTCTGCAACACAAGTCTACACTCTGCAACACAAGTCTACACTCTGCAATACAAGTCAGCACTCTGCAACACAAGTCTACACTCTGCAACACAACTCAACACTCTGCAACACAAGTCATCACTCTGCAACACAAGTCTACACTCTGCAACACAAGTCATCACTCTGCAACACAAGTCTACACTCTGCAACACAAGTCAGCACTCTGCAACACAAGTCTACACTCTGCAACACAACTCAACACTCTGCAACACAAGTCATCACTCTGCAACACAAGTCTACACTCTGCAACACAAGTCAACACTCTGCAGCGCAAGTCTACACTCTGCAACACAAGTCATCACTCTGCAACACAAGTCTACACTCTGCAACACAAGTCATCACTCTGCAACACAAGTCTACACTCTGCAACACAAGTCTACACTCTGCAACAAAAGTCTACACTCTGCAACACAAGTCTACACTCTGCAACACAAGTCTACACTCTGCAACGCAAGTCTACACTCTGCAACACAAGTCAACACTCTGCAACACAAGTCTACACTCTGCAACACAAGTCTACACTCTGCAACAAAAGTCTACACTCTGCAACACAAGTCTACACTCTGCAACACAAGTCTACACTCTGCAACACAAGTCTACACTCTGCAACACAAGTCTACACTCTGCAACACAAGTCTACACTCTGCAACACAAGCCTACACTCTGCAACGCAAGTCTACACTCTGCAACACAAGTCAACACTCTGCAACAAAAGTCTACACTCTGCAACAAAAGTCTACACTCTGCAACACAAGTCTACACTCTGCAACAAAAGTCTACACTCTGCAACGCAAGTTCAGACTCTGCAACACAAGTCCACACTCTGCAACACAAGTCTACACTCTGCAACACAAGTCTACACTCTGCAACACAAGTCAACACTCTGCAACACAAGTCTACACTCTGCAACACAAGTCAACACTCTGCAACACAAGTCTACACTCTGCAACGCAAGTCCAGACTCTGCAACACAAGTCAACACTGCAACACAAGTCTACACTCTGCAACACAAGTCAACACTCTGCAACACAAGTCAACACTCTGCAACACAAGTCTACACTCTAGAACGCACGTCTACACTCTGCAACACAAGTCTACACTCTGCAACACAAGTCAACACTCTGCAACACAAGTCTACACTCTGCAACACAAGTCTACACTCTGCAACGCACGTCTACACTCTGCAACACATATCTACACTCTGCAACACAATAATATCAGCCCACTCTATATTGCTGCAGCTGATGTACCATAAAATATCTAAGTACAGTTCACTGTACGAACTATCCTACTCGTTACTGTCCAAAATGCATTGGAATAAATCAGTTTTTTCCTTAATTATCGTACACCTCAGAAACCCACAACACGTGCCATTGTTGACCCCTTGCCTTGTTGACCCTCGCCTTGTTGACCTCCCTCTTACATGGAACCCTGTTCAACTTAAGCCTAGTGCAACATGACCTTACAGTGTTGCATTTTATAGCTTGCAATGTTGCATGGCCGACAGTCATAGTCATACCTTTCCCTAGTACGGGAGTTTTCCGTTGAGAAACTCCTTTACCTAACCAATGATATGTCCTTCGGGAAGCTCCTTAACCTACCCAGGGGCCTCGTAGCCTGGTGGATAGCGCGCAGAACTCGTAATTCTGTGGCGCGGGTTCGATTCCCGCACGAGGCAGAAACAAATGGGCAAAGTTTCTTTCACCCTGAATGCCCCTGTTACCTAGCAGTAAATAGGTACCTTGGAGTTAGTCAGCTGTCACGGGCTGCTTCCTGGGGGTGGAGGCCTGGTCGAGGACCGGGCCGCGGGGACACTAAAGCCCCGAAATCATCTCAAGATAACCTCAAGATAACCCAAAGTTATGCCCATCGGGAACCCTTGACCATAACAAAGGATATGCTCGTTGGGACCCTTAACTTAATCAAGGATATGCCCGTCACTTAAGCATGTCGTTCAATATATATTGTGTAAGGTAAGGTAAAGTGTAAAATGTCCTGTTACTCGTATATTGTTTACATCTAATGTGTTTCAACTCTAAAACATTATTGCAGTGATTAGAAATAAATCTTTATAATACCACACATATTTTATTAATTTATGCAAAACGGATTAAAGTAAAATGAAGAAAGCTACAGCTTATCAAATGTCCACAGTAACAACCCTATGATCGTATTTTACCCTAAATCAACATCTACAACAGTGATCAAACCTTTGAACTACTACCATTACTATTTTATTTATAAGATATAAACAAAGAGCCATATTATTAGTTGTCACTCAGGAGGTATAGTATTTGTTGTATAAGGCTACTAACTATGTGCAGCATTTCTGGCATGAGAGGATGCAATGTGTCATTCACTAAAAAATAAGGAAATTGGACTGACTTTGATTAACGAGTGTCCTGATTATCCACATGATGTTAGACTGGTCCCGTGTCATCTTCCTCCTTATTCCTATCTTCTCTTCCTCTGTCTTTAAATCTTCCATTGTTGTTTCCTGCTCGTAGGGACTAAGGTGGAGGAAAAGTTCTAGGATGGTCCAGGTGAGCAGCACGACCACTGCTAATCCAAGCCACACCTGAGCACACAACAGTATTAATTCACAATGATATAAACTATGATGAATGAACTTACTGTATTTAAGCAAATAAACAAAATAATTAACGGAGTAGAAATGCAAAAGAATTATTAAATTCATTATTAGAATTTTAACGTTTTTAAGAGAAGCAATCCATTGTGTGAGTGTAACAGTTTCCAAGCATCACCTGCCACTGGAATGGTCGACTGAAGGCGAAGAGGTCTGTCTCCAGCCCCGGCCTACGCACAAAAACGCTCTCATAGTCAACGAAAATGGGTTGGCTAAACTCACAGGCGTAGTGGTAACGCTCCCAGTTGAAGGCAAAGGGACCCAGGGCGAAGTCCACTTCACTATTAGGGGGGAAAATATGCTAAGATAATTTTTCATAGTAATGCATTATAATGACGCCAGGTTCTGCATAGTTACTTTACAATGTTGATGAAATTAATACCCTATTAAATACCACCTCACCCCATCCACCTCACTCAAATGTAGATATAAACAAATCGGAGATATGTAAGTTCTATTCAGTTGTGTATGTGTAAAGTCTTTGAAAATGTAATAAGTTTTACGAAACACGCTCAAGTGTCGCGTCAGACTAGAAATAAAAATGAATTTTGGAGAATTGATTTTTGAATTACCTCCAACAGTGAAAAGAAATGTACGAAAGATTGAGAAAATTCGTGTTAGAATTATTAATCTTACTTTTTCGGTCATATATATATATATATATATATATATATATATATATATATATATATATATATATATATATATATATATATATATATATATATATATATATATATATATATATATATATATATATATATATATGAATGAAAACTCACACCCCAGAAATGACTCGAACCCATACTCCCAGAAGCAACGCAACTGGTATGTACAAGACGCCTTAATCCACTTGACCATCACGACCGGACAAAATGAGGTGATAGCCGAGGCTATTTGAACCACCCCACCGCCGGCACTCGGATAGTAATCTTGGGCATAGCATTTTACCAAATCCGCATTTTACCCCACCGCCGAGTGCCGGCGGTGGGGTGGTTCAAATAGCCTCGGCTATCACCTCATTTTGTCCGGTCGTGATGGTCAAGTGGATTAAGGCGTCTTGTACATACCAGTTGCGTTGCTTCTGGGAGTATGGGTTCGAGTCACTTCTGGGGTGTGAGTTTTCAGTTGCATATTGTCCTGGGGACCATTCATGCTTGTTCGCATTTGTGTTCCTCACGTGTGCCCCAAAGAATGAGGTGATTTGGTAAAATGCTATGCCCAAGATTACTATCCGAGTGCCGGCGGTGGGGTGGTTCAAATAGCCTCGGCTATCACCTCATTTTGTCCGGTCGTGATGGTCAAGTGGATTAAGGCGTCTTGTACATACCAGTTGCGTTGCTTCTGGGAGTATGGGTTCGAGTCACTTCTGGGGTGTGAGTTTTCAGTTGCATATTGTCCTGGGGACCATTCAGGCTTGTTCACATTTGTGTTCCTCACGTGTGCCCCAAAGAATGAGGTGATTTGGTAAAATGCTATGCCCAAGATTACTATCCGAGTGCCGGCGGTGGGGTGGTTCAAATAGCCTCGGCTATCACCTCATTTTGTCCGGTCGTGATGGTCAAGTGGATTAAGGCGTCTTGTACATACCAGTTGCGTTGCTTCTGGGAGTATGGGTTCGAGTCACTTCTGGGGTGTGAGTTTTCAGTTGCATATTGTCCTGGGGACCATTCAGGCTTGTTCGCATTTGTGTTCCTCACGTGTGCCCCAAAGAATGAGGTGATTTGGTAAAATGCTATACCCAAGATTACTATCCGAGTGCCGGCGGTGGGGTGGTTCAAATAGCCTCGGCTATCACCTCATTTTGTCCGGTCGTGATGGTCAAGTGGATTAAGGCGTCTTGTACATACCAGTTGCGTTGCTTCTGGGAGTATGGGTTCGAGTCACTTCTGGGGTGTGAGTTTTCAGTTGCATATTGTCCTGGGGACCATTCAGGCTTGTTCGCATTTGTGTTCCTCACGTGTGCCCCAAAGAATGAGGTGATTTGGTAAAATGCTATGCCCAAGATTACTATCCGAGTGCCGGCGGTGGGGTGGTTCAAATAGCCTCGGCTATCACCTCATTTTGTCCGGTCGTGATGGTCAAGTGGATTAAGGCGTCTTGTACATACCAGTTGCGTTGCTTCTGGGAGTATGGGTTCGAGTCACTTCTGGGGTGTGAGTTTTCAGTTGCATATTGTCCTGGGGACCATTCAGGCTTGTTCGCATTTGTGTTCCTCACGTGTGCCCCAAAGAATGAGGTGATTTGGTAAAATGCTATGCCCAAGATTACTATCCGAGTGCCGGCGGTGGGGTGGTTCAAATAGCCTCGGCTATCACCTCATTTTGTCCGGTCGTGATGGTCAAGTGGATTAAGGCGTCTTGTACATACCAGTTGCGTTGCTTCTGGGAGTATGGGTTCGAGTCACTTCTGGGGTGTGAGTTTTCAGTTGCATATTGTCCTGGGGACCATTCAGGCTTGTTCACATTTGTGTTCCTCACGTGTGCCCCAAAGAATGAGGTGATTTGGTAAAATGCTATGCCCAAGATTACTATCCGAGTGCCGGCGGTGGGGTGGTTCAAATAGCCTCGGCTATCACCTCATTTTGTCCGGTCGTGATGGTCAAGTGGATTAAGGCGTCTTGTACATACCAGTTGCGTTGCTTCTGGGAGTATGGGTTCGAGTCACTTCTGGGGTGTGAGTTTTCAGTTGCATATTGTCCTGGGGACCATTCAGGCTTGTTCGCATTTGTGTTCCTCACGTGTGCCCCAAAGAATGAGGTGATTTGGTAAAATGCTATACCCAAGATTACTATCCGAGTGCCGGCGGTGGGGTGGTTCAAATAGCCTCGGCTATCACCTCATTTTGTCCGGTCGTGATGGTCAAGTGGATTAAGGCGTCTTGTACATACCAGTTGCGTTGCTTCTGGGAGTATGGGTTCGAGTCACTTCTGGGGTGTGAGTTTTCAGTTGCATATTGTCCTGGGGACCATTCAGGCTTGTTCGCATATATATATATATATATGCATATATAGATATATATATATATATATATATATATATATATATATATATATATATATATATATATATATATATATATATATGTGCATAAATATTAACAATCTTTGGAACAACACCCACCAGTGGGACTCGAACCCAGAAAGCACAACTACCTTCCAGTAGCTGCCATAACTAGTACGCTTTAACCCACTACACCATCAGACCCTACAAAAGAAGTAGAGACTTCGAGATATATATACATCTCAAATATCTCCACTTCCCGAGGGCACCAGATAAGTGTGAGGTTAGTCTGCGTTTTTCGTCAAGCCACTGTCAATGTGAGACACACTTACTGGTGCAAACAGCCTACAAAGCCTGCCCAAGTCAGCGCAACTTACAGATCCTTCGAGCCGTCCGCTGCAAAGTGCAGCAGAGTGCTAGGCTATGTGCCTACAACCATTGGCTCCAGCTCTGCTCCCAGATACAGACTGCAGTGGATATAGGCAATGTAAGAGGAATGTGTGACGGCATCAAGCAGGCCCTCGGCCCAATCCAGAAGAAGACCGCTCCTCTGAAATCTGCCACAGGCGAGGTGATTCAGGACCAGACACTGCAGCTGAAGCGCTGGGTCGAGCACTACTCTGAGCTATACGCCAGGGAGAATGTGGTCACCGAAAACGCCCTGAGCGCCATTGAGTGCCTGCCTGTGTTAATGGAGCTCGACAGTGAAGTGACTCTCGAAGAACTCAGCGAGGCTCTAGACTCCCTTGCTTATGTCCCAGCTCCTGGAAAAGACGGCATTCCTACTGAGACCTTGAAGTGCTGCAGAGGTAGCCTGCTCATGGAGCTGCATGAAATTCTCTGCCTCTGCTGGGAAGAAGGAGAGGTGCCACAGGACATAAGGGACGCCAACATCGTCACGCTTTATAAGAATAAAGGTGACAGGGGCGACTGCAACAATTACCGTGGAATATCACTTCTCAGTATTGTCGGAAAGCTGTTTGTTCGAGTCACATTAAAGAGGCTCCAAGTACTTGCAGAGAGAGTCTATCCAAAATCACAATACGGATTCAGAGCTGGCAGGTCCACCATCGACATGATCTTTTTCCTCAGACAACTGCAGGAGAAATGCAGGGAACAGAAGCAGGCACTCTTCGTAGCCTTCATAGATCTGACGAAGGCCTTCGACCTCGTCAGCAGGGATGGCCTGTTCAAGATCCTCCCCAAGATCGGATGCCCACCCAGGCTCCTCAGCATCATCAGATCTTTCCATGAGAACATGAAGGGCACCGTGGTCTTTGATAGCCTAACATCAGACGCCTTTGACAGCCGAAGTGGAGTAAAGCAGGGCTGCGTACTGGCTCCAACCCTATTCGGGATTTTCTTTGCAGTTATGATGCAGGAGCCATTTGAATGGTTTTGGAAAAGTTGTTCAATAACAACCAATATTTTTTGACTAGTTGTATATGAAAAGGGCTGCAATTGTTCCAAGTTTCAGTACTGTAGCATAAATAGAAAGGGAGATTTTTATTTTTATATTTTTTTCAGCGAATTTACACATTTTCAAGTGTAAATAAGCAAACACACCTTTCAGATATAATCATTATATGACACTTTTCTGACACATTAGTATATAATAAAGGATATGGAGTTATGGAATTTCCAAAACATCTTTAGTTTTCCTAATACAAATAGTCAAAGTTCCCCCCAAAATTATGCAAATATGTCATGTTTATTGCTATTATAAAATCAATAAATGAACTTAGGAAAAAACGCTTACTAGAGATTTTGGAGACATAAACTCTACATATAAGGTGTAGGTTTCATGTAAATTAAATAAAAAATGAAAGAGATATTTGAACGTTTATGTTACTTGAAAATATTGAAAATAAATAAGAAAAAATAAAGTCTAAGGTGCTGCCATCTGTGGCTGAGGTTGACATCAACCAGTTTTCTCCAAAATTGGCAACCTTACAGATAGGCTTATGTGCAGTCAGGTGTATAAGTTTCATGCAAATCGTCCGATTAAAAAAAATGAAAAAAAAAATATCATTTTTTTCTTTTACTTAATTATTTTTCTAATAAACTAATTATAATATTTTTTACTATATGCTATTGTGATAGCTGAGAGTCATAGATATGATTTCAGTTGACACTTGTGTTTGATAATCGTTTTTGACCATTTTGGAATTATTTGGAATGGACACCTACTTCAATATTTTTTCTCCCTTCCTATTTTTGCTACGATGCTGAGACTTGGACCAGATGAAACCCTTTTCATATACAATTAGTCAAAAAAG